AAGTTTTGTATGTCCAAGAACCAAGACTGGTGATGGAAGAAAAATGTTTGGGTGATGCCTGTGGAGCCTTTTTGAGTTTCAAAAAAGCATCCTTTGACATGAATTTTGAAAGGAGGAATGTCTTTCATTGGTACCAGAATAGTATTAGAACCCTTACTTAGTCTAGCTAGCTAAAGCCCAAAAGTTCTTAAGCGGTAGTTTTGGCTATGCTGTTAGGGGGGCGAAAGAGGTGTGTGTTCTAAGCTAAGTCCCATAAATTGCATAAATTCATTATATTTTAAGTGCTTGTGTAACAAGCATAAAGCATAGTGACACTGCTAGAATAATTGCAAAGCTCTAATCACAAATTGTACTAAGCTGCACTGTTTTTTTTTAATTATAAAGTACTATTTAGTGCGCATTATTACTTTTCTAAAACAAGGACCTGATTCTGCAAATACTCCTAATAAATGGACTGGGGCTATTCATTTGATATTCTACATTGTTTTTATAATTATTAAAAAGTACTGATACTAAGTTCTGTTTTAAATAAAGTATTGGAAACTGAAGAATAGCTTAAGGAGATAAAACAAATATTTGGGGGAAATTCAGGCTTGACAACATGTATGCCAAGTTTCAGACTGATTTGATTTGAAACGGCCAAGATATGAAACCATAAAAAATGTGAGTAAATAATCTGCATATCAAGGGATGTTATGCAATTACATGGTTTCAATATGGTTCCTATTCATAGAAAACAGTTAGAAAGAGTGATCTACTGCACATGCTCAGTGACTAATTACAAACTCTCATAGTTTAATTGTATAAAAGTATTTCCCCTCAAAATAATAAACCATGTGGCTGTCTCGCTGCTAGTCAGATTTGAAGATGTTTTTCTTTTTTCTAAAACTAAGCCTTTACAGCCCTAGATTTGTCAAAATGTTTCTAAAAACCTGAGGTGTTTTTTTTTTCATTTTTGGCCAGTCTCCATATTATAAACAGCTGAACTGATTTAAATAAAGTTTTCAGTACAAAAAAATAGCCACATCTGGGCTGACAAACCTGTGTGCCAAGTTTCAGCCCTATGTGATTTGAGACAACTGAGATATTAAACACCCAAATCTAGGAACTGGAATGGAAACAGTGACGGACTCCTAACTATAGTGGTCCCTTCAGGATTTGTGATTACTATATAGTGCTTATAAGGATACAGATGATTGAAGATTGATTGAGTAGAGACATATTTTAGTTATTTAGACCCTTTGGATTTATTCTCCCAAGAATGTACAGGACATTTACATGGATAACTCCAATTAGTATTGGTGGCATTGTTTGAAGAATTAGACCATGTTGTCTGTGGTTCAAACCCTATGACTGGTTATGTCACTATCATTTTCCCGGGCTGCTGTTGTGACACTGTTGTGGCTATGATAGCATATGTGTTCATATGAAGGAAAGGCCAAAACAGAATACAACAAATTTCTATTAATTGCTGCCATAGGCCCATATTCACCAAAGCACTTGAGCACATGCATAGGTCTTATTTAAGTCAGATGGTCGTAAGGATTTACATTAGTGCTATGCTGCAGAGGGATGAACTTAAGTATGTGCTTTGCTGACCTGGGGCCATAATGACTGCTTCTTAACAAACGCCGTAGAAAAAGGATCCATGCTATGAATTTGCCATCATCACTGGAAGTTACTAGCGAACACAAAGTTTGTATATTAAAAACTAGGCTGGTTCAAGCCATAAAAACACATATGGGTTAAAAACAAAAGTTACACAAAGTAAATATTTTTGATAATCTGTGCTGGACATCAGCCTTCGTAAAACTTTAAATACAACAGAAACTATCTGGGGAAAGCAAAAAGGATACTTTTATATTTTCTTTGTTAAAAGACTGGTTTCATTAGGAGAAGAAAACTACATAACAATGTTTTTAAGGTAAACAAATATATGCTTATAAAAATAGCTGCCTTGGTTTCTTACAAGACATGAGCATGATACCTTGGTTATACTTTGAGATGAAGGATGTCTTTTGATTAATAAACAAAACTGGAGTCAGGAGTTTTGACTCTGCCACAATCATCATAAGTGACCTCAAACAAGTCAATTTAAAATTTCTGTGTGTCTGCTTCACAATTGGTATTAAAAAAATATGGATAATATTTTTTTACCTGCCTTGTTGGGATGTTATGAGGGTTAATTCATTAATGCTCCTAAAGCATACTGAGATCCTCAGATGGAAGGAAGATTATCTCTGATTATCTTACTATGAACTGAAAGTGACATAGAAATAAGATGTAAAAAAAATAAGCTAAATGAATTAAAGGTAGTAATTGCAATTTTCAGATCAGTGCAGGGAATGTATCCACATATCTTCAATTATTTATAGTGGAGGATGTGTAGCTGAATCCCCTGCACTGCTTTGAAAATCTCAAAAAATATTTAAAAAAATGTATTTACCAAGTCAGCAGAGATATAACTTTTGTGATTCTGTTTTCTATAGATTTGGGGATTTATTCAAAACTAAGCACTATCTTAATTTGTTGGAATTAATGTATAGCTTTGACAGGACCTTGCTTCTTTATTAATATTAATTAAAATTACTCTTTTGAGCAATGCTGTGCTACAGTAATGTCATAGAGCCTAACAAAGAGTGGGGTGTAAATATTCCATGAGTTCTGTGCACCTTCGGTTCCACCATTAATACCGGTATATGTGAGAAAGCTATCTGGACATGCTACAGCCTGGGTTACCTTGTCATAATTTTATATATATTATGTCTTCCGTTACCTTGTTAGAGGGCATTTTGCTGCATGCAGCCATCAGGCGCAGGGCAGTGAAAAGGGTGGATAGACTCACTCAAATTAATACTCCACCTTCTTTAACACACCACAGCAAGAACTCATACTCTCAAGAAGGAAAAACTAGGAATAATAGAGTGGTTCCGCAATAGAATCTGCATCCTGGCAATATAAAGTTGTTTTGCTTTGGAAACCTTCATATGGACCAAATTGGAGTTAGTTTAGTGAAACTTTTATTGCACCCTAAGGAAAATAATTTGGCAGCCAGGTGAAGTTTGGCAAAGATAAGCTGGTTGGGTAGCCACAAAAGAAATGAGATGCAGTTATTTACTTATTAGGTAAACATGCATTCCCAACATGGATTACGTTTAACAAATGCACTAAGTTGAGCATTTGCTGAACTCTGTCGTATATAGTTTGGACTTGTAGCATCCAGATTTAGAAAAAGCTGATTCTGATTTAGGGGAAGGAGTAAGGGGATGATGTGAGGGGCTGAAAGAGAGATTATCTCGATAACCATCTAGATTTGATTATATCACCTTAAAGTAGCACAATCTGCTATACTAACAAAATTGTGTTCTTGGTTTAAAAGGGCAATTGTTCGCCTGACTTTGTGCTCACTAAAAACATTTCCCCAATCTTGTTAAATTATTGCACTCATTTCAGATTTTTATGGCTGTGCAGTTTACCGGCCCTCGTTTCTTTACGTTTCATTCATTTTCCTTGTATTGATGATTAATGGAGGATGTCGAACGTTAGAGTGAGCAGGCATCAGCAAATGCAAGATCATAATTAGTTTAGCTGACGAGGGCCTCTGATAGCACTTGCATCTGGATGGAAAAATTACCCTATAGGGAACTGGCTGCTCACCAGGTCTTTTTAGTGATACATTGTGAAACACCCGATGAATCAAATGCCCTTTCAATGCCAAGAAAGTGTTCCAGTCTTGAAGCCAAAATTATGTCTGCAGAAAGCTTTCCATTTGAAATGTATCAGAGTACAATTATAACCATTGTATTTTTTTGGCATGAATACCACTCTTCCACAGTATGGATTAAAGTTAAATAAATTACTTAAATTTTATGAAACCCTGAAATTCTGAGTTATAGTATTAGTAATTTTTAATTTATAATGAAATTAGTTTTCACCCAGACTATTCTCCCCCATACCAACCCATTCTTATCTGAGATGAAGACTTCTTATTAAATTCTTTTCTTTGCAAGTGGGGAGCAGAGTTGAAATTCAGATTTCTTTTTCAGCTAAAGAATTCCATTTCCTGCTTGTTAGTATTTGTGCCCACAAACACAGCCTTACTTTTGTTTAAATGAGAAGTTTAATGAAATCATTATTTCATAGAAAAAATGTAACAAGCAATACTCATAAACGTGTCTATTTCTAAATATTCTTGGATCATTATTAAAGTTGATGAATGCAGAGCTCAGCCTGGGTTAAAAATCAGTTTGTATTTGGAGGAACTGTTCCATGTCTTTCTTTGTCAGACTAAAATAAAATAAATAAATCAATCCATTGATGAGACCGTGTTGTCTGGGTTTCGGATGAAGTTCAAAAGATGTCTCAGTAGTATCACTGTACTCTTACTTGTTTGGCAGAGGTTACTCCTGCTTCTCAGTTGGCTGTGGGAAATATGTGGCAGTATATGTAGATTTTAGAATTAAGTGGGAAAGACTGTAACTGAAAGTCATGCATTCTGTTAATGAAGTATAAGCTCAGTTACAGGAACTGGTACGAGCAGATGAAAACTGGAATTAATTGGAAATGATGTATTTTTAGACTTGTTGCTGATCGCACTTTGAAATAAAGCAAACAAAAAAAATGTTTTGCAATGGAAGTACAGTGAACAAAACAGCAAAACTTTGCAGAGTGTTCTCTGTCAGTTTCAAAAGAGTGTATTTCAGAATTCAGTATTTAGAAACCAACATTAAAGTCACAAAACCTAAAGTTCAAAAAGTTAAAGCTGTTATTCTGAAAAGGCTTTGGTGTTTCACACACCTCATCCATCACTGTAGGGTTAATTATAATGAAAATCAGTGGTGCCTATTAAGCACAATTGAACCTGACCTCATTATGGGAAGTGTGGTTTTATACTGTCATTGTTGCCAGTCAAGAGACAAAACTCCTGTGTTGATTTGTCCTAACTCCGCAGATCATGTGACTCACCTTTGACCTATCTCTTTTTTTTCTTCCTGTTTCAGAGACGTAGAGGCTCAGGAGTTTTTTGTGCCAATTGCCTGACCACAAAGACCTCTCTCTGGCGAAAGAATGCAAATGGTGGATATGTATGCAATGCGTGTGGCCTCTATCAGAAGCTTCATTCGGTAGGAAGAACTTACTAGTTTGTTCAGGAAAAAGGTTTATACAGCTAAGCTGAAGCTGGGCTGTTGTGGTCTTGTCTGGTTGTATGATTACTACCACTCCCTGGCCTGCAGTTAATTTCCTAACAGGGTTTTTTTCAGTATGGTCACTTTGTGATCAGATGTGATTCATTATGAAACAAGCTGGGATGCTGTGGAGAGACATGTTTGAGATCACCAGTGATGCATTTAATTATTTTGATACAGAATAAGGAAAAATGGTTTCCTTTCTGGGAATTTCATTTAAAGACATACAGTATGTTGTAACAAAAGCTCTCCAAATTGAACAAAGCTCATATTTATGTAGGAGTCCAGAAAAAAAGTTTCTAAAATTAGAAATCAGAAATAGAAACATTGCTTCTTGCCTATATAATTCTATTTTTCTCTTTTCCCCCCCTTTCCTTCTTTTAATAAATATCTTAAAGTTGTATTGTTTTATTTTCCTTATATACAGAGCCCAAATCTGTGTGATGCTTATAATCTACTGCAAATACTGAGAGCCCTCAACTTTCTTTGAAGCTGCTCAATTGAAGGCATTCAGTACTTTGCAGGAGTAAAATTCAGCATTTTATTAGATTGGGCATGAAGTAAGTAATAATAATATCATCACTGGTTATCTATGTTGCTTCCCTTCTTTCAAATATTGCGCTCGATCCTGAAAGGTGCTGAGCACTCTGGTAGTGATTCAGCAAAGCCATGCTTAAGTGCTTTTTTGGATTGGGGCCAAAGTACTCAGAATTTTCAAGGATGGAGCCCAAATGTCAAATATGAGTTTATATGAATTCTGCTACTAACTTTAATGGAATTACTTGGGAGAGGAAGGTGAGCAGAATTGGGCCCATTAACTAACTACCCACCTCACAGGGATGTTGCAATGATTAATTATCATTCTTCTATAGACGGGGAAATTAAGGTAAAGAGTTTGGGACTTTGCCAAGGCAACGTGTGAAGTTAGGCTCAGAGCCAAGATTAGAAATCTGAGTTTATGGTTGCCAGGGCAAAATTTTCAAAAACACCCTCTCCCCATTTTTGAAAGTGACATAGGATCTTAAGATCCATTGAATTTCAGTTCCACTTTGGCTTGTAAGTGCCTACGTCACTTTGAAAATGGGACACAGGTGCTTTTGGAAATCTTATCCCCAGTCCCGTGTGCAAGCCATCAGACATTACTGCTTACTCAAGTCCCACTGCAGCTGTTTTGTGGAAAAAATTTTTTTTTACAATATTCTAATTGCAGCCTGACCAGCAATCTAAAATGTCAACTTTAATTGCTAAATGCTGTCATTTGGGGTTAAGTAGAACAGTTTTTAGATACAAAACAACCCAACCAGTCAAACAACATCATCCTGGGACAAGCTGGACTGACATGCAACTAATGATCTGCGGTTACCATGTTGGATGGAACTGTCTGAATACAACATCCTCATGGAGTTCTCCTCAAGTTCCAAATATGTTTTCTGTTTTAAAGAAAATTCATGCCTTGTGAATGTGCTAAAGAGATTTTGAAGGGAAAGACAATTCTGCATTTGAACACTGATCTGATATTTAGGTTTGACTGTTTTTTGTGTCTTCTATAAAAATATCTCATGTTCATTATTAAAAATAAATGATACCCTTTGGTATTTTACCATAACTATCAGTACAACCTAGTGAATAGATCAGAATTACAAGATTCAGTTTTTAGATAAAAAGACCTCATAAAACCCCCATGACCCATTGGAAATAATCCACATAAAATGTGTGCTGCCAACAGTAGTAATTGGTAGTAAGTAATAAACCCTTTGTTTATTAGTATATTGCTTGTGGAAAGATAACACTAGTTTTTAGCTCCATTGTTCAAGCATAGCAATAAGCTGCTGTTTAATGGGCACTGACATTAAAGCTTTTAATTGAACTTTGGCCAATCAAAGGCCAAAAAAGTAATTAAACTTCCACTTTGCCAGGATATGATAACTGAACAACTACAGTGTAAACTGACTTCATTTAAGAAATAATTTGAATAAGAAAATCATTCTTTTGAGATAATTTCTTAAACATGATTAAACAAAATACAGTATCTTGTGACTTTCTTTTGACAAAGAATGCATGAACCTGGTGAAATACAGTTTTCTATATAAATCTCTTCATTAAAGATGAACATCTAATTGATTTTTCGGTTCAGAGGCTGAACTAAAAATCTGAAAAAAAATTGTTTTGGGTTGACTGAAAATGGGACTTTCTTGGTTTTCCTTGCTGAAATGAAAACACAAAAATTTTAAGTTTGGGTCTAAAAAAGCATTTTGTTCGATCCAATTTTTTTTTTCTTTTTGTTTTGTTCCACTTTTGGGTGTTCTTTATGCTTTTTTTTTCATTTGTTTGTTTGCTGGGTGGATTTATTTTTGTTTGTTTGTTTTGGTTTTTAAAAATAAACCTAGATACATTTCTTAAATGCCATTTCAGAATGAAAAGTCAAATGTTTCATTTTGAAAATGTCAAAAAATAAACATTTTGACAAAAATAATTTTTGGTTAAAAATATTCACTAGATTTGACTTGAATTCACAAATAGTTTTGGTCAAGCTGAAACTGCATTTTTTGGCAAATAAACTGGGAAAATGTCACCTAGTTCTATTCTGCATACAAAATGGAGGTTGAATTTACTTTTGTGATTATTATTGGAAAATCAAACATTACTCAGATTGTTTATAAAAGAAGACTAGGATTATGTGATTGTTAACTAAGGGCCCAATCCTGTAGGCACTTAATTATGTGAGTAAAGTGAGTTGTGTATGTAAGCAAACCCATTAAATTAAACAATATTACATTTGTGAGTAAAATTACTCACATTTGCAAGCTTTGGACCTTTAATCACCAAACTCTGATTAGATGCTTAATATCTACATGTACAGTGATTACCATTATAATGTCAATATTTGCAACTGGTAATCATACAGTTGTATATAAGATAACTATGATACTCTGTATTAAAAATAACAGATAAGTCTGATATCTCAGATAGAGTTGTCTGAAAAAATAATTATTTGATTTGGTGTCCAAACTGGGGGGAAAAAAGTTATTTTGGGGTGGAGCCAAAATGAATTTTTTTGTCCTTTTTGGCAAATTGAAACCTCCAAAACAATTCATTTCAGGTCAAAGGAAACATTCTGTTCATTAGATTTGGGGGAGGGAAACCTTTTCAAAACAGAAAATTGAAATAAAATTCAAGACAAATAATTGTTTGCATTAAAAAATTGAAACATTTTGTTTAAAAATGTTGAAACAAAACATTTTGATTTTTTTTTTTTGGGGTGGGGGAAGAGGGATTTTGATTGAAACAATTTGGCAAGTTCGAAAAGAGTTTTTGTCAACCTGAGTCTATATTTTTTGGCAAAAACAGTTCAGTGTTGGGTAAAATTTGTTGGAGAAATCTCAAATACCACTTGTTAGTAGTGACTGGAAAATGTTTGTGTTTTAGTGTCTTTTCCTGTGGTTCACATTAGCACTTCTATGATACTCTTGATTAATTTGTAATTATTTTTAAGAAATGGTACAGTGCACATTTTAATCAAAACCTCACAAATTCATCATGGTCCCTACAAATACACACAATCATTTTACCATTTATAGTCATTTTCAACTGGTCAATTTTAAAAACATTTTTATTGATGAAAATTGTATCTAGCTCACTACAAATGCGGTATGTTCAAGAATATACAGTGTGCAGATTTGTAAACACGAAAAAGTGGATCTCTTTCCTATAGTGTCTCCATTCTCAAAACACCAGAATGTAACCATTTTGGCTTTTGCCATGAATTATATTGTATTTTTATTCATTTTGCATCGCTCTAATCTTAATCAGCCTTGGATGACATGACCTACCTCAACAGTTCTTACTCAGATCAGATCAGATCCCCAGACAAATTCAGTGGGAGTTGCACTGGAGTAAGAACTTCAGTATCAGACATACTTTCTTTTAGCATAGTCAGGTCACACCAATTTCACATCATGTTGAACAGCTAAGAGGTCTAATAATATTCATCGAATAATGTATTCAGTGAATTTTGTGATACTTTTAAAATAAATTAATCACACATTTTTAATAATTTGACCAACTGTAGAGAGCTGGGCAAATTATTCACAAATCACATTATCATAATAAAAATATAATATATAAGATGTAATAATATATCTGACGAATCTAAGATTTTTTTTTAAATAAAGTATTTGCTATTTTTTTCTATTATTCACCAAATTGAGGGCTCCAGTATAGTTTAAGAAATGAGATCCCACTTTTCTGTATATCTTGAACAGTCCATAAATATCGACCATCTGTTTGCTGCCTATTCATGTGAACTATTAAGTTTGTGAGTGACTCTGCTCAAGTGAGTAGTCCATTTAACTTAGTTGGAGAACAGTCACATGAGTAAAGTAATTCACATGCTTAAGTATTTGCAGGATCAGGCACATATGTTAAACACTTGGGTATGTCTACAGTGCAATTAAAAACCAGTGGCTGGCCCATGCCAGCTGACTCGCGCTCGTGGGAATTGGACTAAGAAGCTCTTAATTGCAGTGTAAATATTTGGGCTAGGACCCTGCAAGGTGGGAGGGTCCCAGAGCTCAGGCTTCAGCCCAAGCCCAAATGTCTACACCATAATAAAACAGCCCCTAAGCCCTAGACCCACGAGCCCAACTCAGCTGGCACGGCCCAGCCACGTGTGTCTGATTGCAGTATAGACATACCCTTAATGACATATAACTTTAAAGCCCTGCTCCTGCAAGTAGGCTTGTGAACAACTCTTCTCACATGAGTAAAGTCGTGTGTGTTAATCATTTACAGGCTCACACATCTGTAATATGAGGAGTTAAAATTAATATTTTGTTTAAGCAGTCAAACCAGATCAGGAATCCATACTGCTAGGAAAATGTAATACAGTGGGTGAATAGGAAGAGTGTCATGTGAGAGAGGAAGCAAAGTTCAACAGCAGTGAGCACTCTTTTTACTCCTATGACATATTCTTAGGATGGTCTTAATGATGAGAAAAGATCCTTGAGCTAGTATTAGAAAGTATATATTCCTATTAATGCATGTTTAAATGATTATTAATAATGTAAATTATCCAATTTATATGCATGATATCTATATTACAATGTTCTAATTTTCTCTTAAACATAATTTTGTCCACTTTAGACTTGCTGCTATCCCATTGAGATAACTCTGTTTCAGTTGCTGCTCTTTCGCTGAGTTAAAATTTTACTACTTATTAAACGTCTAAATCAAAGTTTATATTTCTTCTGATTTAGATTTTTAATAGAAAGTAACAGATTAACAAGTAGCAGCTGTGGCTGGGATGCAATTAACCATTAGAATGAGGCGACCTTAGGGGGAGAAATAGGCGAAAGGGGAGACGAAGATGGCAAGTCGAGATAGAAAATAGCTCTATAAAAATAATGAAGTCCAATACTGAACTTTTTAATCTTAATTTAAAGTTATCCATTTATAGATATATAAATTATAATATCGCACATGTAGCGCCAGTTGTTCAAAATATTGAGTTTAGTCCAGAATTTAATCAACACTTTAACATGGCGTTAAGGAGAGGGGGGAAAATCCAAATACACTTCTGAGTGGGCAGGGCATAGAGCAGTCTGTTGGCCCCCAGCCACCCTGTGCACATTTGGTTGAGATCAACATCAGCTACCAGAATGCCAAACTGAAATGACTTTTAGACTGTTCTTGCTCTCCTTTAATGTCTGCCCAATAGAGTGGCATGTATCATCTTTCAGCACCATCTTTCACCACATTCTTGTGGAGAGGGCTAACTATGGTCCCTCCCCCTGCTCCTTCTGCTTCTTATAAAAGTGCTTTCAGTGCTCACATAAGAGGTCTCTCATAATAGTTCTCTCTCCACATGCACTGCATCTTTGGGGCAGATGGCAAATGGATAACTAAGTACTCTCTGTCCTGATGAAGACTTCAGTATCTCCCTCCCTCTGCCTTACTCGATGTGGTCCTGCCTTCCTCCCTTCATCTTTTTTCCACTCCTCGTGACTTCCCCAACATAATAGTAATAGCAGTAGTAGTAGTAGTAGTAATAATAATAATAATAATAAGTAATTAATGATAAATACTACCTAGCTCTTATACAGAACTTGTCATCAGGGAGAGTTGAGAGCACTGAGCACATATTGGGTTGGGCACTTAATGACTGTTTAAGTAAACAAATACAGTATGTTAACTGATATGAGATGGAAGATTTAATGTGGTAACAATAAACATCAGTTGGTAGCTTTATTATTAAAATAAAGAGTTTGCCTCCAAAGTTTTAGCTGACCTTGTTTACTGGTAGAAGTAGACATTCCCTAAAGCTTTCCTGTAATGTGGGTCTTAACTCAAGTACAACTTAGATTTGCATGAACATTGTCACTAAGACTTACTTAATGTGTTTCTTTTATTTATTATGTATGTGTTCCATGCAGACTCCCAGGCCTTTAAACATCATTAAGCAGAACAATGGTGAGCAGATCATTAGGAGACGAACAAGAAAGCGCCTTAACCCAGAGGCACTTCAGGCTGAGCAGCTAAACAAACATCAGAGGGGTAGCGGTGAGGAACAAGTCAATGGAAGCCCATTAGAGAGGAGGTCAGATGATCACTTAACTGAAGGTCACCAGAGAGAAATTCAACTTCCCAGCCTGAGTAAATATGAGGCCCAGGGTTCATTGACTAAAAGCCATTCTTCTCAGCAGCCAATATTGGTCAGTCAAACTCTGGATATTCACAAAAGGATGCAACCTTTGCACATTCAGATAAAAAGTCCTCAGGAAAGTTCTGGAGACCCAGGAAATAGTTCATCGATATCAGAAGGGAAAGGAAGCTCAGAGAGAGGCAGCCCAATAGAAAAATACATGAGACCTGCGAAGCACCCAAATTATTCACCACCTGGAAGCCCTATTGAAAAATACCAGTACCCACTCTTTGGACTTCCATTTGTACACAATGACTTTCAGAGTGAAGCTGATTGGCTGAGATTCTGGAGTAAATATAAGCTGTCTGTTCCTGGGAATCCACACTACTTGAGTCATGTGCCTGGCCTACCAAATCCTTGCCAAAACTATGTGCCTTATCCCACCTTTAATCTGCCTCCTCATTTTTCAGCTGTCGGATCAGACAATGACATTCCTCTAGATTTGGCGATAAAGCATTCCAGACCTGGGCCAACTGCAAATGGTGCCTCCAAGGAGAAAAGTAAGGCACCACCAAATGTAAAAAATGAAGGTCCCTTGAATGTACTAAAAATAGAGAAAGTTGATAGAAGTACTCAAGACGAACTTTCAACCAAGTGTGCGCACTGTGGCATTGTCTTTCTGGATGAAGTGATGTATGCTTTGCATATGAGTTGCCATGGCGACAGTGGACCTTTCCAGTGCAGCATATGCCAGTATCTTTGCACGGACAAGTATGACTTTACAACTCACATCCAGAGGGGCCTACACAGGAACAATGCACAAGCTGAAAAGAATGGAAAACCTAAAGAGTAAAACCTTAGCACTTAGCACAATTAAACAGAAATAGGTTTCCTTGATGGGAATTCAATAGCTTGTAATGTCTTGTGAAGACCTATAAAGCACTTCATATAGAGAGCATGCCTTATCCAATATAAAATACCTTGTTCTTTTCTCTTTTCTTTTGTTTTTTATTTTATTATTATTGTTATTATTATTAATGAGAGGGTTACCAAGAAGGAAAAACAAATTGAATGGTGGCCGGAGAGGAAAAAGTATAATCTTTTGGTACATGGCTCACCAAAACTATCTAGAATTCAATGAATCAGGACAAATATTCACGGCCATTTTTTTTCCAGACAACTAAAACTTTTGCTATTATGTAACTGGCTAGAATACAAAAATGTATGTTTGTATATATTGCTGGCAGGTGTATAGTGAACAAATGCACACTGTATATAGGAAATAGACTTCTTAAATATACAAATGTCCAGAAGTCATTTAGTATTTTTAATTTGGGCTAATTTCTGCCTTAAAACATGCCTTAGTGTCACCTTGTCCTCAAAGCTTTGGCGTTGGTTTCATCAAGACATTTGTCAGACTCAACCAATTTTTAGCTACCATTTTATCACTACACCTTTTCTGGCATAGTGTAGACTAAACCATTTTGCTCCAATAAATTGTCTTTAATATAGAAGCCACACTCTGGGCTTAATTTGCATAGAACAAGGTAACCTGCTGTATTTTTTTTTTCTGATTAGCTGTACTTTCTAAACCTTGGAATCTAAAGTTACTTCTACATAGACATAATGTTGGTATATGTACCAGTCAATCTCTTCGCTAAACCTATACCAGCTTTTGCTAAGTAGCATTAAATATGTCTTCATAGTACTTTTTAATACTTAAAGCTTTGTAAAAACTATCCATGAAGGGAAAGCTCCGCAGCATAACTGCTCAGGGAAATAGGGCTAAATAACTAAATATTAAACAATTGGTTAAAGGTGCTGTTGTCAAGCCTCCATGCTTGCTACAAGAGTGTAAAAGAACTGACTTTAATAATTTTTCATTATAATGTCCCAACCAGTAGTTTATTATTTTGCCACAGGGATGTAGAAGATATTACAAGCTACTGGATGCACTGTCAGATTAACTTATTTCATTAAAGAAGTTGGGAGAACACATAGAAAAAAAACTTATTTTTCTAGTAAATATTAATGTATTACATTTCAAATAATGGTGCCTGACATATTGAATAATTATTTTCTACCGTGTACATATGCAACAAAGATATTCCATCATGCATTAGAGTCGGCTCTGGCTCTGCCTCGCTGTTTACATTTGCAAATGTAGCAAACAAGGTAATGAAGCAACTATTTCTATTGCAGTAGGTATCTTTTTTTGTGCGTGTGCATTTAAAGTTGTAAACGATAACATGAAATGAATGACATTTGTTGATATTAATGGTATGGAAAAATAAGAAGGAAATGAAAATATTTTTATGCCTACTTAGGAAAAAAAGGGTAGCACTATTCATTCCAAGTACTTTTGTATTCTTAAGCTCTTAACTCACATTGTTATGCTTAAAATGATAAACATATATCCTCTTTTTATTGCTTTGTCTGTGTTTCAGAGGAAACATTTCAGAAATTATTTTGATAAGCGCTGTTTGACTACGCAGCGCTAATGTTTTTATTGCATTCTGTAGTAGCATTGCACTCCATTGTTACAATATTATGCAGTCGCTTTTTTGTTTTGTTTGGGTTTGTTTCTTTTTCTCAGTGCAGGGTCTGAGTTCCTTAAGGTTGAATGGCAGGTATAGTTCAATTGGTTCATGAATGTTTCAGCAAAGGAAGTTTAAAATGTCTTTTTAATATTATGATGCCTTTTTTTTTTCTATTCATGCATTTTATTTTTTAAAATGTTCTATAAAAATATATCCGGTCTAAATCCTTCACTTGAGATTATATGTAAAGGGTCCTATTCTGATCATACTTACATGCCACCTATCTCAGACTTCCATGTAATTGACACTAAAGCACTATAAAAAGGCTCTTGCTTTTAACTTACATGAAATTCATCATTCTCCCTTCTAGAAATTGGTGCACTTATGAGACACTTAACCAGGGAAAACTGGGAGGTTGGAGGATGAAATGGAAGGTGATGGGAAATGTCTAGAAGGGTCTGGAGAAAGTATAAAATGGGGAGGAACTGGCCTAAACGTACAGCACTTTGATAGTCTTTTGAAAAATGTGCCAAGTTAAAGCAGCCCGCAAGAAATTCGCCATGCATGAGAAGCACTTGCACAGCTGATCACCAAAGGTCTTGCTGACCTTGGCAGTATTTTACGTGTTACATTTTCACACGGATGAAAAGTTATTGAACAATCCCTCTAATTTGTTAGGCACAAACAGGCTATTGTTCAACCTGAGGCTTGCATTCCTTCCTGCTCCACCCATTTCTTTCACAACAGCCACATTTACTGTGAGCAGTGTACAGACAATCCCTCTTCACCATTCATGGTTGAATTCTATAACCCTTTAATGGTGTTCTAGGTTAGCAAAGGATATTGTGCCACATTCCTCTCCCTCTTTTTTGTTTGTTTGTTTGTTTGTTTTTTGTTTTGTTTTTTAAGATGAATCTTCTGCTTAATACCAGTGCCAGGAAATGACTGGTTGTGTTGACTATTGTTCTCCAACAATAGTTCTGTTTTTTGTGGACTGAAATGGATTGTTCTCCTCTTGTTATGTCAGGGGCCCAGTGTGTGTCCTTATCAGCTCTCTCAAAAAACTTGTTAGGCTTAAATAGCAGCAGCTGTATTGGCATCTGAAGTGACCGCCTCGAAGTTATTGGCACGATGACTGTGTTGGGATACTTCCTATAAATCTTAGCACTTCTTGTGGCTTCTCAACTTCTGGAAGCTGCATCTTCATGGAAAATATTCTGTAGTGCACACGTTCATCAGAAAGATTTGTGCTCAGACCTGTGTTTCATTACGCCTCTTGCTAAACTCAAAGCAGAAGCCAAGATGGGGGAAATACCTTCCAGCCAATACACATAGTGAGGTTTGGGCATGAGGAGAGAGACGATCTTGTAAGTGCAGAGCACAGGCTAGACCTTTAACTGTTAACATTGTACCTATAGAGTACAAATTAAATTTGAAAATGTACCCATTGTTCTCGCCATGACATATTGACGTGTTCTAAAAATTCTACTTCTAAAGGTAATGACATTTTGTTCTAACCTGTTCTCTTGAAGTAAAAATAGTTTTTTATGGAAGGAAAAAAAAAAGCCTGGATTTCCACCCTCCCCACATGGTGATATTAATGAAGAGAAAAATGAAAGTCGTGAAATTAAAAAAAAAAAAAAGACTTAAGTAATTGCTCTTAGTTTGAAGCCTGGGATGGCACAGACCTACTGGCCATAATGCATTTTGTTTCAAATCAATGCACAACTCCAAAACATTAAGGTCTAAATTTCCAAAACCGTCAATGTTTTTGTGCTCAGCTTTGAGGCACCTCGGGCCTAAATTTCCAAGGACTCTTAAAATCCAACTGCCGTTGTGGGCGCTTATTGTTTCTTAAAATCCATCTTAACGTGGGCCCCCAAAGTTAGTAGAAACATTTAAAAACATAGGTCAAAACAAGTCTATCTTTAATAGAGGAGGAACATTGCCCTTAGTTAAGAATCTCAGAATTTCTCTCTGATTAAGGATTAATATCCTGTGTAGCACGGTGCTGCAGCACCTCTTGCAAGTTGAACTATTGTAACTAATTGCTGGCCGGACTAATCGGAAGATTTTCAAAGGCACAAACGGTAGTTAGGTGCCTAATTCTCATTCACTTTCAATAGGAGGTAGGTACCTAACTGCCATTGTTTACTATGAAAATCTCCCCTTAAATCTTCATAAATATGGTACGCTCAATATCCATAGAGACTGAGGAGGGAAGCTGGAGACTTTTTAGCCATTGTGCCCCCTTCTTCTGCCAGAAATAAATGGCGCCAGCCATTACAAAAGGGAATATGGAGACATCTCTAAAAGATGAGATGGATGAAAAATTCTGTGGGTGTCTTAGATCAGTTGACAGAAAAAAAGCTGAAAAGGGGACAAAAAGTCAGCACTAAGATAAATATACAGTGATAAAATGTAGACGCCATGAAATGTGGTGACCCAATTTGGCACCTGCAGATGGTGGGAGGGTCAAAGACAGGCTCAGCAGCCCATCTTCTGACTGTGCAATATTATTTATTAGACAGAAATACCTGCTTGCCATGTTAGAGGATATATTCTATTATCTGTTTGGGTTCCATGTCAACTATAGCTATTTAAAAATACATGTTTCTTCTGTAGTTATCTTCCCATTGTTGCCTGTGTATTGACTTTTCTTGGCTGACTTGACATCTTATTCCTAATACTGGTCAGGAAAAGCGAAAGAGACTGCAGGTTTACTCCTACAGAACCAGGAGAAGTGGATGCATTTCTCTCCAGTCCAGTGGAGAAAGTTATTTGTGGCAGGTGTCAGCAATAGACTCGTCAGCCCTACCTCCCATAAAGGCAACAGATGAAAAAGTCACACTAGTGCCATGATTTCCTTATGTAAAAACTTGGCAGGGTGGAATCACAGGTACTTCACGAAGGAGGAGTGGGCCAGGAGGGGTGATTTGCATAGAATTTTCCACCCAAGAGTGGGACTCCCTCCTACCTATTGGGACCCATTAGATTCATAGAGCTCTCAAGAGTTGGCAGCTGTTGGGGTACTATATAATTAATAATAACACATAGCCTATATCGGGGGTGACGTGGTTTGTCTCTTCTTTAGACACTAAAAAAAAAGTTTAGTGGTTCCCAACCAGATAAATATCACAAGTTTTTTAGTTAAAAATACATTTAGTAAATGTATGACAAAATGCTTAGAATAAACACTGTGTGGCAGCAGCCATATATTGTGTTGTATTCCGGTTTTTCAACTGTGCCCATCACCATGGTATCTGAGCACCTAATGGAAAGAAGGGCAGGGTGGGGAAGACGAAACCTCTCAAAATTCCATTGGAAATTTTACTTACAGCAGAATTCACCAGCAGGGGGGAAATGTCTTTTCATATGGAATGATTTCATGTTGCTTTTTAAAAAAAAAACCTTTAAACTTGTAGCCCTGATTTGACTCTAGAATGTTGGCTCTTGTCCTGTCCTTACAAAACATGGATATGTTGGGGTTTTTTGTTTTCTGTTGTTGGATTTTTTGTTTGTTTTATGTTTTATGTTTTTTTCTCATAGTGCATGTTCATTTCTACTCACAAACATGTTCTTGGTGTATTTCTTATGCAAACAATCTTCAGGCAGCAAAGATGTCTGTTACATCTAAACTTGAATAATAAAGTTTTACCACCAGTTATAATTAAGGTGTACGTCATCATTTATGGGAATAATTTAATGTAACTACAGCACAGATATGCCAGAAGGGAAAAGCAGGAAGTGGGCCTGGATAAAAGGAGTGGTTTGGCCTAGAACTGAGGTAGAATGGGCTAAACAAGAAAATACCTAAAGAGAAGAATATTGAGCTTCAAAATACATTAGACCAAATCCTGAATTAAGGACACAGGACCTGATCCAAAGCGCATTCAAGTCAATATAAAAACTGCAAATGGAAGACTACTTCAATAGGCTTTGGATCAGACCCTGAGCCCTTTGAAAATTACAGACGCCCAGGTTTATATTTCTGTGAACACAGTTTAATTATTTACTCTGCACCACGGAGCGACATGGAACTGGAAGTAGAGGGAATAGCCATGACAAAAAGGTTCACATTGGGATTGGACCAGAATGTTGGGGTTAACAGCTCTACCCTTCCACACAGAGTCCAGCATGATCTTCAAATAACCTCATGTAGTCAGAGCCTTGGTTTTACATCTTGTCCACACGTCAGCACCTCCCACAGAACAGTGCTCTCTAGCATCACAGAAAGCATTGATTAAACAGTGACTCACAAGCAAAGAGTGCCACCTACAAAGTCACCACCACCACTTCCTGCCGCACTGTTGGAGATTTCCTCAGAGATCTCCCATCTAAGTAGTGACCGAGTCAACACTGCTTAGTGTATATGCTCTGATGAGCTCACTGCCCATGGTGGTATGGCTTCCAGCCGTCTTTTCCATTACACTGTAATTTAATTTCTTCATAGTTTTTTGTCTCATCTGCATGGCTGACAGGCTGTCAGTCCTGATGCAAACTATTATTCTAAAGTGGCGTAAAATGGTGAAATCATTTTATAATGTTAGAGTGCAAAAATAGATTTTAATAGCCTGATTCTAATCTCACTGTGCCAGGTATAACTCCAGTGACTCCTAACTGACACCATAAATGAATTCAGATTCAGGTCCTAGGGGGTTTTATTTATTTAAAAGTTTCTATTTTTCTTTTTCTTTCAATTGCTGGAGTTAAAAATAGCTTCTCAAAAGAAAACAACAAAGCAACAATCTTGAGGACAGCGCCCTCTCACTATGGCCTTTTGGTATTTTGAAAAAATAAAGGAGCTAGTAAATGTGAATGATTCTGCGGTAAGTATGATATTTTCTTTTAAATAGCATACTCACAACTAGCCAAGTGTACATTTCACCAGTTTCATGACGTACTATTTTGATGGTGACAGTCAAATTTATTCCAGAATAAATCCTTTTTTCCCCTCTTTACCTTGTCACTTTTGCTACTACACTCCATCTTTAAGTGAAAGAAATGGAAAATTTTAATATCACACCTTTCTATCTAGGTGCTCATATGACCCCATCATTGCAGTAGCTGATCACTGTGTGGCTCTCTGTGTGTTGTTCTGCAAGCTCTCTGCCTGCTCTGTTGATCCCGTTCCCTTCTACTTGTAACCCCACTGATACTCTGTTAACAATCCCTGCTCTCCTGTTTCGGGAAACTCACTAAAATATTTTTTAATTCATACCAAATGTCCCATCCCTTGTTGAAGTAGCAGCAGTTTCCAGGGCTGGTATTGGTCCCAACTGTAGTGGTGCATGAGGCAAGAAGGCAAAGCAGGATTCGAGAATAAGAAGAACGT